GACAGCGAGAAAGGTAGCAAGCTCATTTGATGGAATAGTTAAGGGTTAGCTAGCTTCACCGTGAAATTATAACAACCTGTATTTTGGATTGTATTCAGTCTGCTAAACTAGATGTATAGCCTCAATACATACTGAAAGCCTCTTCTTATGTCTGCTCTTAGAAAAGTATACCTTCTCTCAAGATATCTCTTTCTTTGCTCTCCCTCTCTGTTCTTTACCCAACGTGACCTTCTGATCCCTCATGTTCTCCTCCCTGCTCCACTTCTTCCCTCCCAACTCCCCTACAGCCCTCCCCCCTCCCCTCACACTGCCAGTTTACTAAGGAGATCTTGTCTACTTCCCCTTCTTGGTGGGGGTGGGGAGTGGGGACGATCCTTGTATGTCTCTCTTATGATCCTCCTTGTTTCCTGGCTTCTCTGGGGTTGTGGACTGTAGGCTGATTATTCTTTGCTTTATGTGTAATACCCAGTTATGAGTGAGTACATACCATGTTTGTCTTTCTGAGTCTGGGTTACCTCACTCAGGATGGTTTTTTTTTTCTGGATACATCCATTTGCCTGCAAATTTCAAGATGTCATTGTTTTCTACCACTGAGTAGTACTCCATTGTGTAAATATACCACATTCTCTTTATTTTCTTTGTCTTCAGTTGAGGGACAAAAAAAAGTTGTTTTCAGGTTCTGGCTGTTATAAATAAAGCTGCTATGAACATAGTTGAGTTGAGCAAATGTCCTTGTAGTATGAGTGTGCATCTTTTGGGTATATGCCCAAGAGTGGCATTATGGAATTAGCAAGAAACCAGGCACTAGGGAAATTCTCAGGAATGGAATCCACAAGGATGATCCCCAATTAAGAATCTAAGCAGTAGTGGAGAGGATACCTTAACTGCCCTTCCTCTGCAATTAGATTGATGACTACCTTAATTGTCATCATAGAATCTTCATCCAGCAGCTGATGGAAGCAGATGCAGAGATCCACAACTAAGCAGTTGGGCCAACCTCCTGGAGTCCTTCATAGTGAGGAAAGAGTGATATTAAAAGCAAAGGGGCCAAGACCATGATGGGGAAACTCATAGAAACAACTGACCCAAGCAAATGGGAACTCACTGACTCTAGGCTGACAGCTGGGGAGCCTGCATAAGACTGAATGTTGACTTATGTTGACAGTTGTGTGGCTTGGGCAGTTTTGGGGACCACCAGCAGTGGAACCAGGATTTATCCCTAGTGCATGAACTGGCTCATTTCCTATGGAGGGATACCTTGCTCAGTATAGATACAGGAGAAGGACCTTGGTCCTACCTCAAGTGATCTGACAGACTTTGTTGATGCCCCCTGGAAGGCCTCACCCTCTCTGAGGAGTAGATGGGGGTGTGAGATGGGGAGAAGGTAGGGGGAGTGGGAGAACTGGAGAAAGAGGGAATTGGGATTGGTATGTAAAATAAGATTGTTTTAAAAATAAAAAAATTTAAAAATTTAAAAGTATACCTTCATGAGTTTGTTCACAATGTGTGTGCAGACACCCTTACAGAGCCCTGCAGGTGATTGTGAGCTTCCATGTGGGTGCTAGGAACCGAGCCTGATCTTCTGCCAGAGCAGTTAGCACACTCTGAACACTGACCGTCTCCCTCATCCTCAGACCACATGGTACAAGTCTGTGATAAATACTGAGTAGTGATTTCCCTCCGAAGGTCGTCTGAGAATTATCATTTATTTGCTCATGGTCAGTATAATGTGCTTACATTCTTCCTATGAAAATATAGTCATGAAGTCATTGAAATGGTATTTTTTTCAGCTTACTGAGTATTTTAGAATCATTAATGTTGACTAACGTAAGAAATCATACAGTGGAAGTTATTTCCCAGTGTTTATGTTCAAATGATCAGGCCTATCTTGCTCTTTGATTTTGTAAGTCAGGAGATGTGGGCAGTTCGGTGACATTCTTCATTGATTTATACAGATAGATTATGGATCGTTAGTGTTCAGCCAGAGACCTTGTTTTACTTTATTTATGTTTTGTGTGAACATAAATAAAAGAACATAAATAAAACACTTACTGTATGAAAATGTTGTGTTTTGCCCACCAAAATGACTACTATTTGATTTGGAGTAATTTTAGACAAATCCATAGACAAAAAGACATCATGAATATTATGTTCTAGAATTTCCTGAATTAATATTCACAACTGATGGCTGAAAACTTATATTCTATCCATTACAATTAATGCAACTATTAACTTTTAGTATAATGTTTACTAAACAAAGCAGCTTTATATTATAGTGAAGAGCAGTATTTTTCTAAATGTTGTCTTTGAAGTGGTCCAACTATAGCATCTCAACTTCCTAATGCTGCAACTGTTTAATACAGTTCTTCCCGTTGTGGTGAGTCCCAACCATAACATTATTTTCATAATTGTAATTTTGATAATGTTATGAGTTGTCACTATCTGATACACCAGATATCTGATGTGCAACCCCGGCGTTGCGACCCACAGATCTATAAGCTGCTGAAGGCTAGCACTGGCACCTGGGAGGGAGGAGCCTATTGATTATCTCCTTGATGTTCACTGAGTTTCTAAGAGGGTTATGATCCTCTACTTTCTGAGTTAACATAGCTAAAGTTTGGAAGTAGTGTCTCCTTGGACCTGGATGAGCAGCTTCTACAGAGCACCTGGTTTTTATAGCTCACAATGTATAAGTACATGCATAAATATCCATACAGAGGCTGGAGAGATTGCTTAGCAGTTAGCGTTTGCTGCTCTTGGAGAAGACATGAGTTCAGTTCCTAGCACCTATAAGCCGGCTCACAGCCATCTGTAGTGTCTGTTCTAGGGAATCCGAGCCCTCTACCTCCAGAGGCACCAAGTATACACATCATAGGCACGTACATGCAGGCAAAACACTTATACATGAACTAAAAATAATACTCTAATGTATACATTGTCACACAACTGTTTAAATTCATTCCACTTTTAAAAAATTTTCCCATACTTATCATTTAAGGCAATCAGCAATGGCATCATTAAGCTCAACTCTACCTATCTTCTTCTGCATCCATAGTATAGAGCTGAGGGACCTTAGGTAAAGCTGGCGTATATTAATATTTTGAAGAACAAGGTATTGTATAATGAAAAGCAGCTTGGGTGGTTAGATGTTATTCACGGATTGTGTCGTACAAGTCTTGGAAACGGTTTCAATGTGATTGAGCAATGTTGCATAGTGCTGTTAGGTAATTTCTAAGACAACGGTTTGGGGAACAGGTGACCTTTGGGCTCCACTGGTTTGTGTCCCTGTCACGTATTTTTCTTCTTCTGAAAATAATAGACACACGCAGGGGGATGCGGGGCGGGGAGACGGCGGATGCTCCTGTAATAAAAACTGGAGCTGTTCACTAACTCCAGCAAGTGATGACCAACACACTTTTCATTAAGGAATGTCTTAGTTCTAAGGGGCGTCATATTTACAGTGAGGCTTGAGAGGCCTGACTATAATGGCCTAGCTACAGTGTTTGTATTTGATTTCATTACATCCCACTTTGGGTTTGTTGTAGTTTTGTTGCAAAGACAGAAGCATCAGGTACAGAGAAGCTTGCTGATTTTGCAACTCTTTTCTTTCCTTTGATAAGAAGTAGTTGAAAGAGGTGGTTAATAGTCATAAGGTGGCTCAAAGCTACTTATGTACAAACGGTCAGTCAAATTCATAGAGCTGTTTTGATATGCTCCCAAGGCTTCTATAGGGTGGATTTCATACAGTTTATTATAAATTGAGACTGATTACAGTGTTCTGTAGATGTTAAAATTTAAGATAGATTCGGAAAGATGTACCAAATTTGAAGCCCATGTACCCTAAAAATACAGTAGTGTGACCCAGTAAACCAATTAGACCTTGTAAATTTAATAGAAGTGGCATTCAGATTGAACCAAGGCAGTGAACCCAGTGAAAAATTTCTCGAACAGGCTTTTCGGTTTGTAAAAGAAAACATAATATGAAAGAAGTTTCCATGCATCTTAGTTAATGCTGGCTTGTTTAACTCTTCAAACAGCTTGGTGGGACTGTAGTGCCTGAGACACTGCTCAGCTAAAGGGCGTTCTGTCCTCGGCCCTGACGGTTCTCTGGATCAAGGAAGGCCCTTTCTGTGATGTGTGTTTATCTGTGTCTTTGTTACTTTTCCAGTGTGTCTCTTCTTCCATTCGCAGTGTTGGCCTGATAATCAAGTTATTTAGCAGAACCATCTTATTGTATGCATAGTCTGTTTTTTATGATTTCTATAAACATTTGGAATCCATACTTTGACCGCTTTTGGAGTCTATATAGCATTTTATTTGTTATAGTTCCTATTCTGTACAGCAGTTTTCTAGCGTGTCAAAATATTGCATGCTATTCTGAGAATACATTAAGTTATTTTCTGTCAGCTGGTTAAGACAAATAATAAAGCCTTAGTTGTTTATGGTGTGATTCTGCATGAGAGTTGAAATTAAAACTAATTGAGAGTTTATACTATTCCTAGGGCAATAGTTTGTCTCACCAGGATGAGAAGTCTGTCTTTGAAATGTTTCTCCATAGTCCATCATAGTTGCTTTAACAACCATGGTTGTTCTAGGAAGCTTTGCAGAGTCCACTATGTCCAGAGAACACTTAATTGGTCTCTTAATTTCTCAGCTTGTGAGCTAAGCATTGTCAGAATTATTTTACCTGATTGCAAGTTTTTTAAGCCATTTCCATCAACAAATTCTTTATAAACATTTAGTTAGTTAAAATACTCTGGGCATTTATGTTTAATCTCCAGTCATGTTGCTTTGTGACTGATACTTGGGCAATCTGGATTTCACAGCTCCTCTGCTGAGCTTTGAAGTGGTTCTGAAACCACACATCCCATTAGATCACCTTAAATGTAGTCACAAGGAGTGCCTCCACTCTATGGTGGAATCAACGGGTACATGGAAGGTGGATGGTTACTACTTGGCTTATTTACATCTACTCATTCTTGTTGGTTCCCCCCTTCTAGATTGTTTGATGTGTGCACTGTGTCACGAACAGACAGAGAAACCAAACTTACACTGGTGTTTGAGCACGTTGATCAAGACTTGACCACCTACTTGGATAAAGTTCCGGATCCTGGAGTGCCCACAGAAACCATAAAGGTACCAAGTCTCACCCCTTTGTCTGAGTAGACTAGCCACAGCTTACTCAACAGCAGCATGCTTTTATGTGAAAATTACCAGAATTGGTGTTTTTGAAACTTAATATACAGTTCAGAATGTCAACTAAATAAAATGGAAAATCATCTAGTCTGTCTACTAAGTGGTATCTTCAAAGAGTGGGATTGCAGTCCAGTTTAATTGTAGGGAGAATTAAAATAAAAAACTTTAGTTTTAATGCACATTAAAATTCTTTAAAACTATTTATTTGTGTATTATCAGTCCCTAATCTTATAAAGTATGGTATAACAGATATCGCTCAGTTTATCCTGGTGTTCTTACTCTTTAAGAGATAAATTTTTAGATGTCCCTCAAAGGTGCATTATGCATTGTGATTATATACTGATTTTCAGACATATTCATTTGACCCTTTCTGTTTACTTGTTTTGTTTTTCTAATTCATTGCGGGGCGCAGGGGTGGTGGTTTGTTTTTTAGCCTAAATGGCAAGTAGTAATCTTGGTATTTAAAGATTTCTGCCCTTCATGGTCAATAAGCTAGGAAGTATATTGACTACGAACAAATTCTTACTTTAAGACTAATGGAAAAGCAACTCAAAATGTTTTGATGGTCTAGCCTGTTATTCTGCTTAACTTCATTTTCTGATCCATCTGTTAAATCTGTGGTTGTCCCCACAGAGTAAGAAATGTCTTTTTACGCTAGTTGGCGTCCCCGGATACTGATGCATTCTGACTGCGACATAATAAATGTCTGTCTGTTTGGGGTTAGGCTAGTAAGAGTTCAGTCTTCTCCCATCTAGCTTTCATTAAAGAGTGAGATAAATAGTGGTAGTTTCATTTATTTGTGCAGTTTGAAGGCCAGGAAAGCCCTCCACGTGTAGGATTTCTGATCACTTGTTCGCTTCACTCCTGCACCTCTCCCTGTGGCACTATATTCCACTCCTGTGATTTCATTTTTTTTCTTTATGTTCTTAATTCAGAAACTCCATATTGTGCCTACAGAGCAGGGTCTTAGTCCTTTCTGATCACCGTGTCCTGACTGCATTGAACAGTTGGCAGTTTTTTCTGTGGTCTGACGTCTGACCTCAGGGGCCTCCTCATGGAGCTTCTTTTAGTCTCCCCTACGACCCCTGATGTGTGTGATGTGCTCTCACAGTTAGAACTCTCTGAGGTTGGTGTACAGGTTTAGTGCATTGTTGGTTGATGTTTTCAAGCATGGACGTGGAGAACAGAAATATTTTGTTGTACAGAAGGTCTATTTATGCCAAGTGTCTTTGAGCCAGTGACTGTTGTTATGTTGAATGGTTTATTAAGAACACAAAAATGGATTCTTTCTATAAAATGTTCTGTGGAATAAGACTCTTTTTAGAAAATAATGAGAGATTATTTGTTCAGTGTTTTGGGGTGAAATTATTTGTTTGGTGATCAAGGGGTAAAATGCACATTTAAAGAGAGAGAGATGAGGCTTGCAAAAGCATATGGCAGACATTCTCAGTCTCTATTTGAGCATTTTTAAGCACAAACACCTCTCTAAGTCTTCGGCTTATTGCTTGTGGTACCGAGGTGTTCTTTAGAGTCATCCCAGAAGCTAGGAGGTTAGTAATGCTGTACTGACATAAGGTGCTATGTTGTCAAAATAGTTGTAAACTAGTAAATATTTTAACATAAAGTAGATCCATATTTAAAAATCAAGATAAAAAGCATATACGATGATTTAGGCCAGGGACTTTGTCCTTGTTCCAAGGTGCTCTTGGCACTGTTCACCTGTTAGTCTGCCACTTACAATAAAGATATTCCAGTGCTTATTGGGGTACTAATTGTAATAGGATGGCAGGACTGCATAAAACTAGAATATTTCATCATGTCTGGATAGGGATAAAATCTTTATCATTTAGTCAACATCTTTGTTAGAAACGGCGATGGATGACCTCTCAGAGAACAGCTTTTCAGATATTTGAGTAACATTTGCTTTGAAAAAATGAAAAATCATGAAGCTTTATGTAGTTGTTCAGGTTGATACTTGGGTCTGTTTGTAGGGGACATGCTTCCATTACTGCATGGTTTTCCCATCAGCCTTGAGTAAAGGAAGTCACTGGCTATGTTCCAACCATCATAGATAGGATCACCTGCCAGCACACTCACCAGGACACCCCTAGACAAATGTTAGACAATCAGGAATCCCAGACCTTAGAAATCTCTCACCCCCACCTTTGCTACTATAAAAACCCAACTCTAATTGAGTTCAGGGCCCTCTGATCACTCCAATATATTGGGCAAGCTTGTGTATGAATAAAGGCTCGTCGCTTTTAGGCTTAGTCTCCTAGTTGGTTTTGGGGGACTTCATGATATAGACAACATCATCGTCGTCGTCATCATCATAAAGAATTGTAAGACACTGTTTTTCCCAACATTTTCAAAGTAAATTTCTAAGTAAAATGTTCTAAGACAAAAAAAAAAAAAAAAAATGTGCTGTGATGGTCTTCAGGTCCACCAATTCTTGATAATGACATTTGCATAGAAAACTTGTTCACCACTCTACTGTGAAACCAACAAGTAGCTTAATGTGACTTTGTTGGCATAGCTGGCTTTCCTCTTTCTAATTGAGACTATCATCTTCGAATCTGTTTAGTTGTGGTGTTGAGTTTTCACCTTTACTTTTCATCTTCATGCTTCCATCTGCCACAAGGGTCAAAGAGATGTCAGAAAGTTCATTCACCATATTTCTCAGTCATTTGGAGTAGAGGGAGCCATATGGCAGAGTACTGAGGAGTCCTCTGTGAGGAGGGATTCTTTCCCAGAGCAGAGCTGGGCGCCTGCCCTCTTGCACTGAACCCCGTCTTGTGTACTGGCACTTGCCTGCAGATCAGCTTTCCTAGGGTCTGGTTACCTAATGTCATTCCTTGGATATTCTGCCAGTGCAACATATTTAATGAAATGGACGGTATCATTTCATGAGAATAAAGCACAGAAGAAACACACAAATCAGTAACTTCTCTAAAACAAGACCAGATTCTTTGCGCTCAAGACCACATGGCTTCACGGAGCTATGGAATAAAAATTATGTCCATATATCTCTATGATAAATGAATTCTATGGAACCGGAGAGAGAGAAGAAAGCTCAAGGTTTATGTCTGTGTGGGTCATTTTCTCAGTGAATTAGATTTCTTTTTATCTTCAGTTAGATGTTTTTGGAGCTTCTGTTGGTTTGGCTGTTTTCAGTAAGAGATAAAATGTACTATTAGGTTCATTTTACAAAACCCAGACTTCAGAGACCAACACACACTCTTGATAACTCCTGCTTTCTGCCCCTGGGAAATAATCTGTTTTCGTGACTAATATCTGCTTGTAGTAAACAGTGACTGATGTCGGAATGGAATGCCCTAAGCTGATTCATCTTTCTCTGCTTGACATAATGCAAAGTGACTGGTCCTCTGTGCTGCTGGTGAAAGTCTCCCGGGTTTTCCTCTTCTGCTCTTAAAGGAACCAAACCCTGGTCCTTGCAGCTCCTGGTGGTCTCTACTTTGCCTTAATTACAGCAGGTGATTTGTCCTATCTTTGCAGAACACAGAACAAATTAACATGAAAATATCGCCTCTCAGAAAACAAGGCCGGCTTGAATACCCTGTCACTGCTGGTCATTAGCCATCTGCCACCAGCGCTCACTCTGTTTATCACAGTGGAAATTCAAGAGCAGATGTTGCATAATAAGGTGATCCCCCCCAAAAAAAAACAAGGCAAAAAATTCAAAGAACAAATTCTCCACAGTGAAGATAAAGATCTTGGACTGAAATTGTTTTTCAATTCAACATCATGGCTAGATTAATTTAATAGACTGATTTTTAGCATGGGTGTCTTTACAATGCTATGCCTCCTATTCAAATTATTTTTATAGTTAAAGTTTTTAAATTAAGTACATATGTGAAAGATGCTTTATATGTTATTGGATTAAATGCCCTTTAATTAGCAAAATGACGTATTTTAGTGATACCCATTCTAGTGTAAGGGACTTCATAGGTCAGTCATGCCACTTTTATTTTAAAATAGACCCTGCCTTAGCAGCAACTTCAGTAAGAAAAACTTGTTGGAATTAAAGTTGGATAGCCCAAGCCGTGGTAGTAGCTTCCCACTTCTTTTTTCTTGGTACTCAATACTCTATATTCCATAGTCTTTCTCTTGATTTTCTTCCACTTTCTCCCTTCCTCCCTAGATGATTATCCCACCAGTGCCAGCGTTAACCTTCTTCTCTTAGCCTTGTTGGCCCTGAGTCTGCCTAGTTCTGCCCAACTGGAGTCCCAGATGCTCACTTTAGTCCTCTTGTCTTTCCGTATACGTGAATGTGGTGTTTAATGGGATTAGCTATTGCTGTGCTTTATCTAATTTATTAATACACTCTAGACCTTTATGATGCTTTATAAAAATTGGATGATTATAGTGTATTAGCTGTTGTGTTTCACAAGCATTTTGTATTCTTAGAACAGGCATTCTGGGGTGGGAATAAACCTGAGTGGTCGAGAGTTTACCTAGCACCCTAGAACAGGTACCCTAACTGTCATCATAGAACAGGGTGACCTGTGGCCTCGCGGATCCCCTTGCTGGTGGGAGACAGATATGCCATGCAGAGAGAGCTTGGGTATAGAGTTTATTTAGCGGGTTATGGAGGGGGTGCGGAGGGAAGAGGGGGAAAGGCAGAAACTGCCTCTCTGGAAGAAGAGCTGACAGAGCTCTGGCTGGAGAGGAGGTGGAGATCTGCTTGCCTGGGGGGGGGGTAATGGGAGGGGCTTGTCTCTTAAAGGGACAGGGTACCCAGGCAACAGGCCAGGCCTGCAGATTACAACAGTGACCTGATCAGGACTGTGACCTATGTTAGGAAAATTGGTTTTGAGTATACCACTACTGGCACCCGGCCATTTAGCATTTGTACTGAGTCTGTTCCAAGTTTTCTCTGGGTTTGGGAAGAAATTAGGGTGAGTGAGCTTTAGCAACCA